ACAAGAGCAATGAGCAACAAGTGCACTTGATCAACCGAATTGATCATAAATCAAATAAAAGATAATTGGATCGTATCGGATTTATCGTCAGTAAAGAAGACTCGCAAATGAAGATGCTGAGATGTTGTGATCATTTTTGAATGATATCTCAAGCGAAAGTAGACTGCTAGCAATAAAGCCTATGTACGATAAATTTAATGAGCCAACTTAGAAGTATGCTCATGACAAGTGCTCATTGCTAACCTGTCGTTCATGCATGGCGTTAATGTCCTCAAAGATCGTCTCTGAATCGGAACGCCTCACCGGAATCTCTTCATACATTCGACCGACAGTACAATAGCCATCGGGAGCACCGTGGAATCGAAGTGTTGTCGCTGATTGGCGTAATTTGGTGTTCTTGACTGATGATGGACCACCGACAAATGTATTCGGCCTTCTCGGCAAACTCCTGAAATCTTAGTTGATGAGTGTTTCAGTCAGAATTTTCAGAATTGATTCAAATAACCGAACTGAGGAACTCAACATGGTGGTTTCAGTCGTTTTCTGTGACTTTGCCATAAAATTTACGGTAATCGAAAAGGATATCAATGAAGACCTGAGTGAGGAAGGCGTCACGGTAATCGGAGTACGTGTGAAGAGATCATCGGCTGGTCCATAGATCATTATGGCTCGTCCCGTATCACTTTTCATGCTATCATAAGACCACTGTTTGTCCGCACCCAATATCACATCTGTTGAGCGTTCCGAGTTTTTCTTCATATGGTTCATCGCACTTGATTTAGACCTGAAATGAAAGAAACAGTAACTCAAACGTTGCAAAAATAAACGGACTCCGAAGAAATTACGATACCATTAATATGTAATAATCAAAGTGCAGATCATGCAGAAAACTTGAGGGATGACTTCGCACAACGCTATGAATAATGCTTTTTACATCATTTAGAAATTCGGATATGCTTCATTGATCGTAACTGATCTCGTAGAGATATTATCACGAAATTAATGCACTACTCAAAACGATGATTATGAAATTATGTTGAACAAACATTATTATGATACTTATTATGAATTGTGATTAATAATTGAGATTATTTGAAGAATACTATACGTATGGATGTCTTGAATGGCTTCATTTGTGGTGCATTCAACAGAAATAAGAGCATGTCAGTTGCAGACTGCGACGTATTCATTCACCACGGGGGTCCGTCAAGGTAATCAAAATGTTCAATCGCTGCATCCAATCTCAAAGCATTTGCTCGAGTTTCAACTTCAATCGCGCACATCGGCAATCGCCTATTCATCCATCCTCTTATATACTCAACTCATTACACGCACCACTAACATATATTTCAATTATTTGGATTATTTGGATAATGATCACTATTATAATTACAATTATTATTCCTTAACTGTAATTTGTACGGACGGATGCATTTTATAATAGAAGAGCACTCGAATTTCACACAACATTCTTAATCAACAGTGATTGATGCACTGAATTGAATGATTTACTGCTGAGATCCTCAAAAGGCTTAAATTTCTTCTTTGAAATGCCTCTTCGATTCATCTATCAAACTGATTTTGAAACAGAAAAGTTCAATGTTGCTTCAATAAACAGTTCTTTCGATTTAAATAGCTTTTGTCTGCTAACTCAGTCGATCACTCAATTGACGCACTACTCTCAAATCTCAACTAATTGAGGTCATATTTGCTGCTTCCTCATTTTATAGAATAATAATTCATCAGCAAATCTTTTTCTCAGCATTGTGTTTTTCTCAGAATTCCTCTCAATTATCTCATTTTTCTCAGTGATTTATCTAAAGAATTGCGTGATGGTGACAGCACAAGTGAATTATTGCCCAGTTGTTTTTGTGTCAGTATATGTTCATCTGCCAAATTACGATTCCTTTCTGGATTAATTATTACGNTGTAATAATTTTCAAAAATTATCGCGAATCACCCGAATGTGGGATAAAGTTGATGGATTGGATTGAATTTTGGTTTGATTTGGCATCTAACTGAAGAGTGATCTCAATGTGATAAAGAACTGATGAGTGAATGCATTAAATGAGCATTCCATGAGAACATCGGAAGTGCTTAATTGTTCCGTATTGCGAAAGAGCTATGCGAAACACGCAATATTGCTCATCATCACTTCAACAGTATTTCTTAAAATTATGTTGTGCGCTCACATCTTCTTTCGGAGTTTATTGAGCAACACAATGAAACTGCCATTTGAGGACGTTATTATGCATGAACTGAAGCGAGAGGCGTTATCGAATCGAAAACAATACAACACTGATCCTCTCAGGATGCTGGACGGCTTGAATCATTTTTACCAACCATTCAACAGTTCTACTCAGTATAATGATTGTGAACCATGAATTCAGAAAAATTCCGTGAATACAAACGGCAAATGGCTTGTACAAATTGGATGAATAATCAAAATTTTGATGGATGCTTAGGGCCAGACTTCAGTATGAAATCTCAAGAATACTTCCCAAATTTTACTCCGAAACCGCAACGTACTTGTGGATGATGCATTGCAAGGAATTAAGGAAAGGATTAAGAAAGTTAATTTGATGCTCTTTGATCGTGTTTTTACTTACATCGAAGATGTTCTTAAGTTACTCTCATAGAAATGTAATGTTGACAAGTGGTCCCATAAAACGATCAAGATAATGGTAGTAGGAAATGATGCAGGAACTGATTGTAAGAATGTAATGCAAATAAATCTGATTTACAATTGGTTGCTGTCGGAAGCAATAAATAAATTAGAATGGTATCGTTTTTTATGTATGCATACGCATCCTTCCATATTTAGATATCTATCGATCACTGCGAAATGACAGAGCAGTGCAATTAATGTGTCATCAATTGACCTCCAGAATTGAATTATGGACACAAATTATGTTCAGTGAACTCGTTACTCAGTAAATGTTGATTGGTATAACGCAATATACAGCACAGTTGTAATCAATGATACGGATAATAAAGTCTGAGTTTGCTGGAGAATAGTTGTGCTTTGAGGAAGTTAAAGTGAAGGGTGAATGAAAGCACTCAAAAAGTATAATATTTTGAGCAGATTTCGATGTGACGGTGCACATTTTTGAATATCTTTTCTAAACTCGGTGGAGCATTTCCAGTGATTTGTTGAAACGATATTTTCATCTTATTAGGTGAGTATTGTGCTGAAGAAGCGATAGGCATTCACTCACCGTCGTCGTATCTTGAACACGATAATCATCACTATCAAAGCGGTTGATAGCGTTGCACCCAATGCGATTACCAAGTAAGGGAAATAGTCGACGTGAAAAATGGCAAAAATATTCGATAAACCAAAGTTAGGCGTTGCATTATCGCGTGAATCACATTGTCGGATCTGAAACGTGAAACTTTAGTGATGCTGCACCATCGGTAAGGTTATGGTCTAGAGGACGACTGTAGAAACATGAATAAAACTAAATAAATGATCTATTAGATAGTTTCGAACAGGAACAATTGATCAGACTGCAGCAAAATCAGCCGTAGGTAGCAGCCCCATTTCTGTGAATCAGGAATTTCAATCCCTTATCAAACCATTCTAAACAACGAAAACTGGACCTAGATCCAGTTCCCAGGAAATGAGATTTTTATCAACGAATGATCTGATGATCGATTGGTTGTGCTCGAGTCGTCGAATAACCAAGATCGTAACCTAGTGACAAATACGAAGCAATTTCTCATCTCGTTATTAATGGTCACATCTGTGCATTCATTACATGTTTATCAACACTATCCCAAATATGGACGTCTCTAAAATGCGTAAATTTCGCATGACGGCTAATTTTAAGGATCAGTCGTTTAACTCTCTGTGCGTTCAGTTGTCGAGATTTTTCAACGGATTTTTTGCCGTTCCAAATTCTTGGATAATACTTTGTAAGCTGCACATTCGCTATGATAAAGTAATTCTGTTTTGGTGGGAAATTTCTTGTAAACAATTGAATATTGTTGATAATGAGATGAGAAGAGCACATTGCAGTAATCTAATCTAACGACTGCTGTAATATATCATCACATCGGATTGGATAGATAGGATACGCTGCTGGCTCTCAGCTATAATCAGTCTGTATGCATGTCTGTTTGCACATAAATCATTTAATGATGACACCAGAGGTCATAAATCTTACTTATGCGATGCGATGCGATGTAGCGATCAGGATATAGTTGCATTAGCCAAAAATACGTATCAACAACGGAAAGTAATAAATGAATTTTTAAGATCGGCTAGGTCAGAATTGAATTCATTCATTCGGTCAGTCATTAAATCATATTCATATTCACAACAAATAGTTTGCAATGAATGCTATAACATCCGATTAACACCGACTGCATTGTATTCTGTTAAAGAACTATGCTTGAATTGCTGATGGTGGTGGTATCTTTTATCGATAATGATGCATTATTGGTCATTCAGTGGTCACTTAATGGTCAACGCTATAGTATAATGCAGCAGTAGCAGTCATAATCATAATAAATGCATTAATGCTTAGTGATGTGTAGAAAAACAATCAAAACATCATTAGTGATGAATGATGTTTCCTGAGAGTGAATATTATAATTGTTGATGGATTGCAGGCAAGTGATTTCGTTGAGAGGCCCAGCAATCGCTTTTGAAGC